AAGGCGAGTGCAGTCTAGCGCTGCTCTGCCCAGTAGTCACGCTTGCATCAGAACATACAGGCCTTTGCTTGGGTGGAGGCCAGGTCCTGCAGGGGCTGATACGGGCCGTGGTGGGGCCAGAGCAGGAGAGCCCAGGTGCACCGTCTCCTAGCCTGCTTTTCCACACGCTGACATACTGCATGCACACACCTACCCAGGAGGAGGAGGTGTTGTGGCATTGCTCCCACCTCTGTGGCTGGGAACCCCTGCCCTCCTGCCCCCTCTCCCTCAAGGACGGAACCCAACCAAGCCAAGTGTCAACTAGTTGTGTTTCAGATTTCGCTTAGGCGGATGAGCTGTTCTACTTGATGAGCTCCCTAACTGTTCACTCACTAGGAACTCGGAACAGGGCCCGGCACATAGTCAGCTCTCAGTAAACGTTAGTGTGGTAGAAAGTAAACAAAGCAGAAGTCCCTTTTCCCCATAAACCTCCTCGTGTAAAGGTTCCTTCCTCAGTCAAGAGGATACAGTAACTTCCAGAATGTTTCTTGCCTTTGAGGATTTGGAGCACCTTCTAGTCACCACACGAACTAATCCCGCAGAATGTAGATGTGGCAAGTTCAGGAACTCAGGAGGACCCTGCACTGAGCCCAGGACGTGCTGTGGCAACTGTTTGCTTTGATTTTCCATCACATCCTTTGTTTTGGTTTTGTTTCCATTTGCCTCTTTCTCCTCAAAGCTGCATACAGTCCCCAGTTCTCTTGACTGGGGGCTCTGCTTAATGAAGGTCCTGTCCCCATCTGGATCTGGTTTTCCTGGTTGTCAGCCTTCAGTCCAGTATTAATGTTACCCTAAAAGCTTGTGAAGGCTTCTGAGTAAGTGTTGGGGTTAACAGTGGGTGTTCAGAACGTCACCGCAGTGACACCCTCGTGGAGGTTCACTTGTCAGGTCCTCACTGCGGTGCCCTCACCATCAAGTAGGAAGCCTGGGCACACAGCCCCCCTCTCTGCTCCCCCTCAGCACACCCTAGATTTGGGCCCAGAATGACTGCAGGAACTCGGCGTGGTGACTCCTAGATTCAGGGGTGACTTGGGATCTGGTCAGACCTGGAGTGGTGCCAGGGCCCAGGGGACCTCCTGCAGGCCCAGGGCTCCCTAGTGTCCCAGCAGAAGGTCGTGCGTGCGGCCTGAGCAGGGAGTCCAGTCTGCCTTCAGAGCCATCTTCACCTGGAGTCTCTTGAGCTTATGGCTTGTCCTCTTTGTGTCCTCTATAGGACAAAATTTTTGTCACCATGCGCAGGCTCTGGGGAAGCTGTCACACCAGCAGTCACCACAGCTTGGGTACAAAGGTGAGGCCACCAGTTGGTGGTCTGCATGAGCTTGCCTGAGTTATTAACTTGTCTATCTGTAAAGTGGGCATAAGTAATACCCACCTCAATAGAATAAAAAGTCCAGAAAAAGTCTTGGAAACACAGGAATTTAGGGTACCTCAGAAGTCATTTCATATCAATGGGAAAAGATAGCTCATTCAAGAAATAAGACAGCCTGCCTGGGAAAAATATTAAGTGGATCCTGACCCTTAAAACTTACATCAAAATTAATTCCAGATAGATTAAAGATTTGATTGTAAAAAATGAAACTGTAAAGTTACGGGAAGAAAATGTGAAAGAATTGTTTTAAAAATCCTGGAGGGGGAGATCTTTCTAAGGCTGACAGAACTTAGAGACGCTCCACGAGAAAAGTGGGTGTGTTCAGGTGCAGGCTGATAGGTTCTGCATGAGCAAAGCCAGCGTAATAGTCCAAAGACAATGACAAACAGGAAAGACACGTGCCTAACTCTTCACAAAGGGTTAATTTCCTTACTATATAAAGAATTCCTACAAATCAAATACAGAAGAGACCAACAGCTCCGTAGATAAACATGCAAAGGATAAAGTGAGTAATTCCTGGAAAAGGAGCTGCAGCTGCTCTGCATGCCCGGCCCAGAGCCGCGGGGACATGAGCATCGGGCTGAACTCTGCCCCAGAAGTTACTGATGCTCTCTGGGCCTCAGCTTCCTGAGATGTAAAATGGGGTAACAGTGGTCCCTATTATTCAATGGTTTAGCAGGTGCAAAGCATGGAAAACATGGAGGAGGGCAGTAAGTGCTATGTAAGTGCTTGGTAGATAAAATGTGAAAAGATGCTTGAGTTCATCTATGAGCGGGATGATCTTGTGATAAGAAATGTGCAGTGATAAGCCACTTCTGCACAGTGCTGCACTGATAGGAGTATAAATACCTGTCAGACTTCTAAATACACACACCCTTTGACCAAGCGATTTCTGTTCTTTTTCTAATCCTTTTTTGAAAATTTTAAATCAAAATATAATTGACATGCAATATTATATTAGTTTCAGGTGTACTACATAGTGATTTGACATTTGCATACATTATGAAATGATCACAATAAGTATAGTAACCATCTGTCCCCATACAGTGTTATTACAACATTGACCATATTCCTTATGCTGTATATTACATCCCTATGGCTTATTTATTTTGTAACTGGAGGCTTGTACCTCTTAATCCCCTTCACCTATGTCTTCCCCCCACCACCTCACCCAGTTCCCGTCTAGCAACCACCTGTTTGTTCTCTGTATCTATGAGTCTGTTTTCATTTTTTAGAGCCCACATATAAGTGAGATCATATGGTATTTGTCTTTCTCTATTTCACTCAGCATAATGCCCTCTAGACCCCATCCACACTGTCACAAATGTTAAGATTTCATTCTTTTTTTTATGGCTGAGTACTATTCCTGTGTGTGTGTGTATACACCACACCATTCATTCATCTGTCAGTGCACCAGTTTACAGTCCCACCAACAGTGCACGAGAGTTCCCTTTTCTCTACATCCTTGCCAACACTTACTTGTCTTTTTTTTTTTTTTTAAACATCTTTATTGGGGTATAATTGCTTTACAATGGTGTGTTAGTTTCTGCTTTATAACTTGTCTTTTTGATAGTAGCCGTTCCGACAGCTGTGAAGTGATATCTCTCTGTGGTTTTGATTTGCATTTCCCTAACAATTAGTGATGCTGAGCATCTCTTCATGTGTCTGTTGGCCATCTGCACGTCTTTGGAAAATTTTCTGTTCAGATTCTCTACCCATTTTTTAATCGAGTTGTTTAGTTTTTTTATGTTGATTGTATGAGTTTTTTGTATATTTTGGATATTAACCCTTTATCTGATACATTGTTTGCAAATATCTTCTCCCATTCAGTAGGCTGCCTTTTCATTTTGTTGATAGTTTCCTTCACTGTCTGGAAGCTTTTTAGTTTGATATAGTCCTATTTGTTTATTTTTGCTTTTGTTTCCCTTGCCTGAGAAGACAGATCCAAAGAATATTGCTAACACTGATGTCAGAGTGTACTGCCTATGTTTTCTTCTAGGAGTTTTATAGTTTCAGGTCTTACATTCAAGTCTTTAATCCATTTTATGGTATGAGAAAGTAGTCCAGTTTGATTATTTTGCAGGTAGCTGTCCAGTTTTCTGAACACCATTTATTGAAGAGGCTGTCCTTTCCCCATTGTATATTCTTGCCTCCTTTGTCATAGATTAATTGACCATATAAGCATGGGCTTATTTCTGGGCTCTCTATTCTGTTCCACTGATCTATGTGTCTGCCAGTGCCATACTGTTTTGATTACTGTAGCTTTGTAGTATAGCCTGAAGACAGAGTGATGCCTGCAGCTGTCTTCTTCTCTCTTGAGAATGGTTTGGCAGCAATCTCTCCTGATAACCACCATAGAAAAGATGCACATACAGGGAGGTTCATGCAGCACCATTTGTAAAAGCAGAAATTGGAAACAATTGTCCTTCAACTGGGAAATGGTTTAGCAGTTTATAAGATGTCCATAATCTGGATGATTATGCAGCTTTAAAAGAAGAGACAGGTCTCCATATACTGAGTGACTTCCTGTATATACTAAGTAGTTAAGAATGAGGTGTTGAACAATGTGTACAACAATCACATTTGTGCGAAAATGAAGCATGCACATGTGTGTAGCTGCCCAGCTGGGCTCTGGAGGGACATCCAGGAAAGTGGTAACAGTTGCCCTCGGCGGGGGTGGACACTGTGGCTGAGGGACAGGGCAGAACCCATGATTTTTCATGTATCGTAATCTGAAAAAACCTATCTTGTGGCACCATTGTGAGTAATAAAAGACACCGCGATAGGGGTTAGGACCGGTGAGTACAGTGCGACTGCCTCAGATCCTAGCTCCACCATGAGATGTGTGACCGCAGACGCGTTTCTGACCTCTGTGTGTGTGTTTCCTTATCTGTAAGTTGAGGATTCCAGTAGGACCTAACACAGGGTTGTGAGCCTGAAATGGGATGGTGCAGAGAAAAGCTTTCCGTCCCTGTCACTCAGCAAGAACACAGCGACACCAGCCATTCTCCTCGTCGTCACTGCCATGCTGGGCTTCTTTGCTCTCAGCTGCTCCCTTGGGGAGAACTGCCCCACGTGGGCTGAGCCCCAGCCGCCCCTCCTCTCTCACGCAGGTCCCCACTTTGAGACTCCTCTCCTCCTCGGGGTGAGGCAGGCTTCTTGGGTGCCTGCCCCTGCCGCCGGCCCAAGGTGGCTGTTACCGCCGCTTTAAATCACAAAATCACATCTGTGAGGAATCTGGGGATTAATCCTCCTGTTGTTCACCTTGGGGGGTCATGAAACCTGCTCCCAGGAAAATGCACATCAGCTCAGGTGGGTGAGGGCCTGTGCCCGGCCCTGCCTGCTCCAGCCCAGGTCAGCGCCCTGGGAGCCGCTCGGGCTGGGTGGGCAGCCTGGGCAGGTTTGTCTTCCTGCTGCATGAGGCTGCTTGCTACCTGGCCTGGCCTCGCGGGGCGCCCTGGGGCTCATTCTCTCGTGGTGCCTGTGGCGAAGGAGAAGAACATGGCAAGGGGCCATGACAGGCTGACATGACGCCCTGAGGGAGCCAGCGGCCTTGTCCAGGAGGCCCTCACGTTCTCCTTTCTGCTCTTAGGGGCCTAATGTGATGGAAGATCAAGACCTGCGGGAAATCGGCATCAGTGACGCACAGCACAGGCGGAAGCTGCTCCAGGCTGCGCGGTCCCTGCCCAAGGTGACCACCGACAGTTCCGTGGCCTCAGCCTTTGCCAGTGGCGGGGCGGGGCTCAGGGGATGTGCAGGTCACTGTGGGGGTCTGCCCCTCATCTCAGGAGCCCCAGCGGGGAGGACAGTATCCTGTTTACTTCTTTGCCACATCCCAAGGCCAGCAGAGCACTAGGGACAGTCAGGACCTAGTCCGGCCTCAGGAATGGCACTGCAGGCATCTGCCTGGCGCGGAGCCTGGTGCCCACAGGCTTGGCCTGTTGCCTGAGACCAGGCCCTCCCCAGGAGGCCCGGGGCCCTCAGGGCAGCAGAGGAAGCAGTCTCTGCCTCCTGGGGAGCTGTGGCTGGTAGGCCTGAGCCTCTCCTCAGCTCTGCTGGCACAGAGTCTCTTCCACTTGCCCAGAGCTCAGGAAGCACTAATGAGTCCTAGCAGTGAGGCCAGTGCCCGCTTCACAGACACACACCATTTTCTTGTCCTACCAGGTCTGTGATCTTGTCAGAGCACAGTAGGGGCCTCCACAAACGCTCCTCCCCATCTAGCCTTACCTGATAGGGCACCTTTCCCAGACCTGGGGTGCCCTGGTAGTCCCCAGATGGGGCCCGAGACCAGAGCTGAGGTAGAGAAGGCTGTGTGAGTGGAGCGACTCGGGGATGCTAGGACACAGGCCCCGTTGGTCCTCAGGAGCTGTCCCATACCTACTCCAGCCTCAGCCTCTGGTGTGGTCTGAGTGAACCGGCCTGCGTCCCCGTGGTCCCCAGGGTCCTCGTCCCAAGTGCTGAGATGTTAGTCCCGCCTCCTGCCCTCGCCCCACAGGTGAAGGCTCTGGGCTATGATGGGAACAGCCCCCTGTCAGTGCCCTCCTGGCTGGACTCCCTGGGCCTGCAGGACTATGTCCATTCCTTCCTGTCGAGTGGCTACAGCTCCATTGACACTGTGAAGAACCTCTGGGAGCTGGAGCTTGTCAACGTGAGTACAGCCCTGCTGTGAGTGTCCCTGGGCTGCCAGCATGGCCCGTGGGGGTGAGGGCTGGGGGCTGGGGGCCCAGTTGCCGCCTGACCTTCCTCTCCCCGCCCCTGCCCAGGTCCTAAAGGTGCACCTGCTCGGCCATCGCAAGCGCATCATCGCCTCCCTGGCAGACAGACCCTACGAGGAGCCACCCCAGAAGCCCCCCCGGTTTTCCCAGCTGAGGGTGAGTTGGGGCGGGTGGGAAGGGATGTTTGTATGCTGCGTGTTGCTAGGAACTGAGGAGAATTCTTCGGGAGTTCTTCAGAGACAGCGTCACCTCTGCAGTCGAGGAGCAACTGATCCCTCCCTTCCCAGTGTTGGGGCCAAATGTTGGCAAAAGTAGGAAAACAAATATCCGAATCCCAGACGGCTGGGGCCATGTCTGAACGTCCGGTTGAGCTGTGCCCGGGGTGGTGGGCAGGGGTGGGTCAGAGGGGCCCCCTCTCGGGCAGCCTGACGTGAACCCGACACAAAGCCTGGAACACACGGAGGGACCAGGGCCCTCCCCATCTTCTGAAGGAAAATCCCTGTGATTTTAAAAACCTCAGAGATGCTTTGTTGCTCAAGGCAGGTAATCTCTGACTGAAAAGTCGGTTAGACTGTGAGCCTGTGGTTCAGGATGAGTCTCCCCAAACCCGTGAAGCTGCGTGGCTGCCAGTGGGTGGGGTGGGCGCTGGGCTCCAAGCCTCAGCCCGTTTATGGCAGCCTCAAAGTGGGCGTTATTTTATCCTCCTCTTACGCATGAGAAGGCTGGGGCCCAGGCTGGTTCTGAGGACCAGGCTCAGCTGACATTCAGATATGGAAAGTGAAGACTGATTCATACTCTTTGTGAGGCCTCTGGGTGCCAACCAGCAGTGCTATGTGTTTTCTTAGGAAAGACTTTTGGATTTGGTCACATGCCCCCAGGACCTGCGATCAGTTGTGACAAATGATTTTATAAACAAGAGATCGCTTCCCAGCCCTACAACCAGGCCGGAGAGTGCTCTCGTGACCCGGGTGCTCACCTGCAGGACCCGGTTGTTAGGGATTCCTGGCTGGAAGAATCTGGTCACTTTGACTGTACCCACGCTGGGCCCAGCGGCCCATTTCCCCAATGGGTGCTGGCCTCCAGCTCGTGCCTGTTCTCACTGATTCTCCTGCCCAAGCTGGGCCCTGACAGCCCGAGGATTGGCTGACACCTACAGCCTAAGGACTGGCCTGATGAGTCTCAAATCTCACCTGGATTTCTTCCCGCTGCAGTGCCAAGACTTGCTCTCGCAGACGTCGTCCCCCCTGAGCCAGAATGACTCCTGCACCGGCCGGTCGGCTGATCTGCTGCTGCCTTCTGGGGACACGGGCAGGAGGCGGCACGACAGTCTCCAAGACCCTACGGCGCCCTCTCGGGCCGAGCGCTTCAGGATCCAGGTGGGCGGGAGGGAGCCACAGACGGGATCGCCTCATTCCTCTTGGCAGGACAGGGCTCCCAGCCCACCGCCCAGGGCACTGCTTTCAGGGCTCTCGCATTTATTCGACTTGCCCGTCCTCCCTCCCGCCTTGCACGGACCGCAGGCTTTTTGTCTCGCCCCCGTCTTGGCCTGTTAGACACAGATTGCTGGGTGTCCCTTGTCCCCGCAGGGTGAGCCCTAGCTTCGCTCTGTTTTCTCTCGTGACTCATATTTCTCGGTTTTGGCCTCTGGGGATTCCCCTCACCTTTCCACAAGCACGACCATGAATTTTACAAGATTTAAAAAACACATCGTCCAGCAGTTTTAGTTGCTCTGTATTGAGAGACTTTGCATATTGCTGGGAATGGAAGTCATAAATTTCCTGAATTTTCCCCTCCTCCTCATTCCTTCCACCAGCAGCCTAGTTAAGGACCCCATCGCCTGGCACCTGGCCCGTGGTGGCCTCCCACCCCTCCCCCACACCCCAGCTCCTGCCATGAGGATCCCTGTAAAGTGCATCCCTGGCCACGGATACTTCCCCGACTCCCCACACCAGGATCAGATCTACACTCATCTCAGACACCACAGAGCCTTCCCTGCTGAGCTGCTCACGGGTGGGCGGGCAGCTGAGGTCCCTGCTTCTGCACCAGTTCTCTGGCATAGACAGGCCTCACCTCCGCCCCAGCGCATCGGAATGGCTTGTCTGCCTCCGGCCTGGAGCTCCCAGAGGTGGAACCCAGGAGGGAGCCCGGGAACCCCTTGAGCAGGCGAGCTGACCTGTGACCCCACGTGTTCTGCAGGAAGAGCACCGAGAGGCCAAGCTGACCCTTCGGCCCCCAAGCCTGGCTGCCCCCTATGCCCCTGTGCAGAGTTGGCAACACCAGCCGGAGAAACTCATCTTCGAGTCCTGCGGCTATGAAGCCAATGTGAGTAGCCTCTGCCCACCCAGCCTGGCCGGTCTCCTGCTTTCCATGCTGGCCGGACCCAGGGCCCCCATGGTGTTCTCCACTCCTCAGCTGCTCCCAGCACCTGGGGGAAGGGGGACTCACAGGCCAGGATGGGGGAAGAGAGTCACTGGGAGAGGGAGCCCCCTGACTGTGGTCCCAGATTGGCTGGTGGCCCCGTGTGGTAACGCAGGACTCCTAAGCCGGGCCACTGCTCGCTCCCACAGTATCTGGGCTCCATGTTGATCAAAGATCTGCGAGGGACAGAATCCACGCAAGACGCCTGTGCCAAGATGCGGGTAGGTTACCGTGGGGGCGGCCAGGACGCAAGGCAGCGATGGCGGCACCGCCTGCAGCCACGGGGGCCCTGCCACGCTGCGTGCGGCTGAGTTGACAGGCCTCCCGTTTCCTGTAGAAATCCACGGAGCACATGAAGAAGATCCCCACCATCATCCTGTCCATCACCTACAAAGGTGTCAAGTTCATCGACGCCTCCAACAAGGTGTGCTTCCCACAACTGCTGTTGAGGGAGGAGGGGGCACCCTTCCTCCCCACACACACCCCCCTCCTGGCCAGCTGGGTATCTTCCCTAGAGGGGGGGCACTTGTCTCTCACGCACCCACGTATCTTGGTTCCCAGGGCCCCGCCCGAGGGACAGCTTATCTTCCCCAGCATGGGCTCCACTGGCCACTTATCTGCTTGTGGGCCTTTAACGCTGTGATGCACTTAGTGAGCGTAGGACACCCCCAGGCCCTGTGCTTGGGATCCCACCCTGGAGAGCAGAGTGGGCTGGGTGTGAACATTTGCTCCCTCAGTTGCCATGGTCAAGGGTGGAGACCCCAACCCTAAATCAGACAAGGTGAGGTGCCACCCCCACCCCCACCGCGAAGAGATGGGGAAGTGGTGTTTGGCTGACGCTAGGATGGGACAGGAAGGTGGCAATGGTGAAGGGACTGGGGTGTGCCCTCAGGGAGCCCAAGAATTCCAGACCCTGTTTTCCCCGCAGAACGTCATCGCAGAGCACGAGATCCGGAACATTTCCTGTGCAGCCCAGGACCCGGAGGACCTCTGTACCTTCGCCTACATCACCAAGGACCTGCAGACCAGCCACCACTATTGCCACGTTTTCAGCACGGTGGACGTGGTGGGTGGAGTCCGCAGCTGGGCACGGTGGGGGGTCCTGCGCTGCGACAGCCCCAGTGCAGTGGGTCCTGGCACCCGGCTGGCACTTAGCAAAGGTCTGTTCAAGAATGAACATCACTCCAGCCCCCTCTATCTGGCACTGAGACTAAAGCACACAGGACGACAGTGGCTCGTCCAGGGTTCTAGTTGACAGAGGCTTTCCTGCTTCCGGCTGCGTGTCTGTCAGGTCAGCCAAGGCTTCATCTCCCTAGGCTCTTGGTCGACCATCCATCCTAACTCCCAACCTCCAGCTGGGCCATCTCCCTGAAAAGCCCTCCACCTCCCTCTTGGGGACAGTAGGTTTTCTTTGCCCATATCCCAGCTTAGGCGGGGTTCTGGCGCTGCTGGGCTGAGGGGAGCGGTCACATGTGCTGCCCACAGGGAGTGGATGAGTGACCATGGTGGCTGCCGTGAGACAGCGCCTTTGTCCAGGTCCCTGCTGCCTCCGTGAGAGTAGCTGGTTCCAGGGTCTTCCCGGCCTCGCCCGGGAGCTCTGTGCTTGCAGCCTCCTGGCTCTGCCACTAGCTAGCTGTGTGACCCCGGCTCCTTGTCTGCGCAAAGGGGATAGAGTGTAACCGACTTCACTGGGTGGTTCTGAAGATGAAATGAGGAAATCCTCCCAGGACACATCCTTCCCGGTACTCTTACCTGTAGCTCATCTTCCCGCATCCGTCAGTTCTGCTGTAACGTGGCGTCTGTGCTCCTAGAGAGCACCACACCCTGAAACCACACGGGAAGCACCAAGGCTCATGGGGAGATGAGGCAGGGGGCACAGCCCTCAGGAACCTAATACGAACACCCACTCCATTTTATCCATGTTAAATGGTTAAGAAATACATAAATGCTACATAAACACGGCGCTCTGCCTCGAGAAGGACCCGAAGTCGGCTTGTGGAAGTATGTGCCTCACTCCTGCCAGCCTGTGTGCCAGAGGGAGAGAGAAAGAGGAGGGACAGAGGGGTGCACGGATGGAGGGGAGGGCGCGGGCCGGGTGGCCCTGGGAAGAGCTGCCGCTTGATTGTTACTGTCAGGGGTGGGTCCCGTGGGGAAGTTGAGCTGCCAGGTGGGGGTGGCATATATGCTGTGTATTCCCAGGCAGCGGGGGTCAGCAGGGGAGTCTTTGCATTTGCCTCGCGTTTCTCTCCAATGAAATCACACGTGAGGAAACACAAAGTGTGTGTTTTGTTCAGATTGTTCCCTAATGTATCAGTCACCTCGGGACAAACTTCTGCTTTCAAAGCAAGTGTTCCAGCAGGTTCCCTGCACTCTTGTTACCTGTGCCTTGTTACCTGTGCAGTGCTGCCTGGCCTGTGCTCAGGGGCATGAGGCCAGGGCAGGTGTGAGAGGCAGTGGTTCCTGCATCCCATCTCTCACGTTGTGCTGTTTTCTCCCAGAACCTGACCTATGAGATCATCCTGACGCTGGGGCAGGCGTTCGAGGTGGCCTATCAGCTGGCCCTACAGGCCCAGAAGTCCAGGCCGATGGGGGCCTCTGCTGCCGAGATGATCGAAACGAAATCTTCCAAACCGGTGCCTAAGCCTCGGGTCGGCATGAGGAAGTCAGCAGTACGTGGGCCCCGGGATTTGAGGGCTCGGGGTGGAGCGGGCGCAAGGAGGGTCTTCTCACGCTTCAGGTGGCCAGCCCCTCAGGACACGGGCCTGTGCGAGGCGGCCTCCGTAACGCCACCCCGTGTCTGTGTCTGCTTTGCTCCGCACCCCAGGTGCCGCCGCCCCCTGATAGTCGCTGTTGTTACTGTCACACCTGCCCCACCCATCGTCCTTCTTACCTCCCGCTGCCGTCTGTTAGTCCTGGAGTCAAGGTCTCTGCACCTCCTGCTGTCTGTGTATCAGTCTCCCCGAAGTGACCGTGAGCTCTCTGAGACTCTGGTGCCCCGCCCCCGCCTGCATGCCCGTCTTTCCTGAGCTGCCGTCCCACCATCCCTGTCTGTGCTGGAGCCTCTGTTTCTCTGCTGTGTGTCCTCCTCTCTCCAGAGCTCATGGGTGCCCGCTGTGGTCTTGCCCGGGGTGAGCTCTCTGGCCCTGCCAGAGGGACCTGAGGTTTGGGGTTTCCAAACCCCTTACCCGCTTCCTGCCACCGAGAACAGCTTTAGGGCTTAGTGCTCGATGCTTAGGTAGGGCAAGGCTCCTTTAACTGAGAAGTTGCCCCTGGCGAGCTCAGAGGCGGCCCTCCCATGATGCTCCAGGGAAGGTCCCCCTTCCCCATCCCACCCCAGGGAGCCTTTTGCTCTTTGGCTGAGGAGAACAGGGCTGCCCCCGTGGGGTGCTGACGTCAGCACGGCCCGGGAGGCGGGGGACAGCGGGCCCCGTTGACCCCTGGCCCAGGTGCAGCGCTCGCTCTGACTCTTCACCCTCTTCCTCAGCAGCTGGAAGCACCCGATACGGACCCAGATGCCCAGTCCCATGCCAGCGTCTCCTGGGTTGTGGACCCCAAGCCAGACTCTAAGCGGAGCCTCAGCACCAAGTATGAGACCACTATCTTCTAAGCGCCCGCCCCGTCTCCGCTATCTCATGTGCCTTTGCCGTCCGTCCTTCTGCTCTTCTCAGCTCTCCTTCCAGCTGCTGACGCCAAGGTCCCACCCCCACTGGGACCTCTCCTCCCGGGGCGGCAGCTTTAGACACTGCACGCTCTCAGCCCGCACCTAACACCGCCGGACACTGTGAATTCCCCCCTTGGGCGAGGACAGCTTGGCGGGGGGGCAAGGTGCCTTTGAGGTGGGCACCAAGAGGCCTCAGCGGGCGGGCGCTGTGGCTCCTGAGGCGGGGGCAGTCTCCAAGCGGAGTCCACTCGGCACTGGAGGCTGCTCCCTCCGATCGGCCGGGGCTCCCTGTCGGCTCTCCTCTCCCGTCTTCCGAGCCACGGCTGGGTGCCGTTGCCAAGAGCTAACTGCACCTTTCCTGACACAACCAACCACTGTGACCACCTGGGGCCAGAATCCCCTTGCGCTCTGCTAACAGCTGGCCTGCGGCCCATCCCTCTAAGATTGCTGGCCTCCCCCTGTGAGACCCTCAGCTCAGCGAGGTCAGACCTCTTTCTGTGAGGGCCCAGGGTCTGTGCCAGGTCCTAGAGCACATGCCTGACTCCAAAGCCTGGGGCTCTGAGCGTCTGAACACCCACAGGCTGGCTCCACACAGCAGGTGTCTTGGTCCCGGCTGGCTCTGGAGTCTGGCAGGAGGGAGGCCAGTGCCCTGCACACACCGTGCACCTTCTTCCCTCAGAACGGAGCTGATGCTTCTCCACAGTGTGGGGACCAGAGATAGTCAGCTGGCACCCGGTCCTGATCGACCACCCTCAGCCTCTTGACTCCTGAGAAGGAGTCCATCACCTCAAAGCAGTTCAGCAGCTGGGATGGTGGAGTTGAGGCTTTCAGAAGGCCCACGTTCTCGCGTGAGGGCATGTCAGCTTAGATGGCGGGAGAGGAGAGCCAGTTTCCGTGGGAAGAAGCACTGTACACGTAGCGTGGCCCAGTATGAGAGCCAGTAAGTTGCAGCGGTTGCTTTATGAGTTGAAACCCAAGTCGACAAACCTGCCTGTCCTCGTGCCTTCCAAGCAGATGCGCTGAGCCACGGCGGGTGCTCAGGGGAGGCTGTAAGGGACCTTCTGTTCTGCTTCTGTGTTTCCTTTCCGTTTCCTCCACCTTGTGCAGGCCCCTTTGGTTAACCCTTTCCCCCCCCCCCCCCCCCCCGTTGTGTTTGCTTCTGCCAAGCTGAGCCACCGAGGAACCAACTGTGCTGCGGAAACAGCCATGGGGAGCGCAGGCTCCCACCGCCGCCGCCGCCACCGCCACCACCGTCTCAGCTGCAGCTTTGAAGACGCAGGCCCCACTACTGCCCGTAGGACCTCCTCGCGGCTGCATGGTCCAGGCCTGCCACCGCCAGGTCTCGCCGAGTGAGCCCTGCCCTGGTTGCGGAGCAGCCCTCCAGGCCTCTCGCAGATGAGGTTGGAACTCCAGAGGGCCAAGAAGTGACTTGTCCAGAAAACATTTTTTAATAGAAAAAAATTTTTTTATAAAATGAACTTTCAACACGTGGCTCAACCCTCTAGGTTAAACTGCCAATCTTTAGACAATGGCCATAGGGTCAGAGGACAGCGGGCCTCTGTCCTCAGGCTGGGGTCTTGGCGCGCGTGGGCAGCTCTGAGAGAAGGTAGTGGGTGACTTGAATCGGCTTGACAGACCCGCCAGTCAGCTGCTCTTCCTTCTGAGCCGCACAGCTTCTTGTCCCCGCCTGGAGCTGGGGGCAGCCCGTAGAGGCGCCTGGCAAAAGCAGAGGCTTCTGGGGTTCCAAACGTGAAGGTCTGGGGCCGCGCGGAGATGCACAGGCAGGTCGCGGTGCCCGAGCTCTGGGCTGCTCCTCCGTCTCGTACCCAGCGGTGGTCAGAGTGCTGCCCTGGGCTGCCTGGCCGCAGGCCCTCCGGTGACCTCAGACTGTCTGAGTCGAGGCAGAAAGGAGAAGCAGCAGCTTTGTTTGTTTTGGGCATTGACGGGTAGGTTGGCTGAGGTGGCTGCCTGCTGACTTGCGATTTGTCTAATCAGGTCTGTGTGATTAGGACTCACTTTGGTTCTCTGAATTATCGGTTTGATTGTCATCCTTTCAGCTGCTGGGCTCCCCACTGGCTCCAAGGGTAGGGAAGGCTGAATCAGGTGACAGTTTGATTCTCCCCGAGTGTGACCTTCAGGGCAGGCTGGCATCCGGGCGCTGCTGCTGCCTGAGCCCTCCTGCTGGCTGGCTTTGCTTTTCACCTTTGGTTGCGTTGCTCCTCCTGGAGGCAGAGGCAGAGCCAGAGGGACTGTTCCTGTGAGGCTGGGCCAGGTCAACTGTCCGTCCAGCACCTTCCAGAGCAGAGCCTTTCCTCCCACGGGGCCTGGAGCAGACCTTCCGCTTTGTTGGCACAGCGCAACCTGGTCCCAGGATCAGTAGTCCAGGCTTCAGTAGCGCCTCTCCCTCTCCTGGCAGGGGCTGTGAATGAGCAGGGGCGCCCTGGCGCACCTTCACAGCCCTGTGGTCGGCCAGCAGTGGAAAGCTGGGCCGCGTCTTCCTGCTGACCTGAGGCTGGGCCCTGTGGGTTTCCTTTCCGCTGAGCCGTCCACACCGCAGGCCTGGGGAGTCACACCCCCTCTCACTGATCCTGCCCTTCTCGGTACTAAACAAGGACCTCGATACCGGGAAGTCTGACTTCACGTCCTGCTGCTTCCAGGGCCCGTCGGCTTCCACTGAGCAGTATTCAGCCCCTACTTCCTTCCAGGTATGGACGAGGAACCCCGAGCTGGATGGGTAAACCGCGGCTCCTGCTGCAGTGTGAGTGCTGTGCCCTCTTCCTCCTGAGGAAGGCCGGTCTCCTCTAAGCAGCCCTCTCTTGGTGGGTGGTGGGTCCATAAAGAAAACTGTAGACACTACGATGAGTTCCTCAAGCTGTCTTTTTGTTTTTAAGTCATAGGTAGGTGTCTCCTCCCCTTGAAGCTGCTATATCTTTATTTATTCAGGGTGTTTCATGTTGGAAAGCCTTGGCTAATCTGCTCTGGCTCTGGAGTTCGTTTTGAGCTTGGTTTATTTCTCAATAGCCAAGAAAGGAAGGGACTAGATATTTTTTTTATTCCTCCTCCGGGACAGGTACTCTCCCTCCCCTAGAAAGAAAAATTTTAACACCAGGACAGGCTTCACGTGGAGAGAAGCCCTGCTTCTGCACGTGAGCACAGGCCCTGCAGTGTGGCAGCCCCGTTCTGAACTGTGCAGGCCGTTCAGGCGGGACCTGAGATAGGTCAGTACCTGCCCGGCCACAGGCTCTCTGCTCCGCCCTTCTGCTTGCATCTACTCCGAGCAGGGCTTCCCTCCGACAGGCTCTGCATTTGCAACGCTCGCATCCCCCCGGGGCCCCCAGCTTTGACTCTGGGGAGTCCCCGGAGAAGTCTCGGGCTGAGCAGACTGGTCTGCCCTCGGCCTGTGTTGTGATGCCCAGGCCTGCAGGACGACTCTCAGATGCAGTTCACAAAGTGGTGTTGCTAGTGGTGTGGCAATGGGACCGAACTGTAATAAAACGTTATTTAATCTTTGTCTCTGTATTTTGATACTTGAATGACCTCCCCTTTTATTTTACTGTACATATAATTGTTAATCTGTCCAATTTTGTTTAAATTACAAACATCTTGTGGTACCAAACATAACCGATCTGTGCAACAACATAGACTGACCTCACTACACGAGAGAGAGTGTAAATATTCCTGGGCTTTCGGCTTTGGTTTTGTTATTTTCGTAACTGTACAACTTAGAACAGACTGAATTAATAAATGAGAAGCGACATGAAACCAACCTTACTTTGTGGAGTCTGAGGTGGAAGGTTTCTTGATTGATTGTTTTCCGGCAGAAGTGCTGGCACAGGCCAGCCGCCGGCTCCGGGGTGGAAACGAGGATCCGCTGTGTTTGGCTGGGACAAGTTTGGGGATTCCGCTCCGTCCGGCCCTCTCTAGTCATCATTAACCCTGCTCCAGTGCAGGGGCCCTGCAATCCACCTGCCCCTCCTCGGTCTGAACACCAAGCAGGGGCCACATCCTGGCCTGGGCTGATCACCCACAGATACTTATTGAATGTCGGTGTACAAGGCAGCGTGGGGATTGAGAGCTACGGAAGGAGAGGCTCCCTTCAGGAACTCAGTTTGATTGTGGAGGTTAAGTTTTAAACAGACACAACTAGCTACCAGCCCAAAGCCACACCGTGAGACCCATCAGACAGTCCCGGGCCGTGGGGACTGGGAGGGATGCAGTGCTCGAAGAACCGGAGCAGGTGGTGCCTGGGCTGCTATTCAAAGGAGGGTTGGAAAGGCACAAACAACACTGACATCCCCGTCGTTGGTGGAGCACCCGTGTTCCAAACCCTGCTGGCAGCTTTACAGGCAACCCTCCCCATCAGCCCTCACACCTAGCTGGGTATTGTCTCTATAGAAAAGGAAACCAAGGCTCAGAGAGGTTAAAACGCCTGCCCAGGGCCGGCTGGAGAGGCCCCTAGAAACCATCTAGTCGGGTGGTGTCAAGCTATCCTCAGAGCCGCTGGTCCCACTCCTGCTTCAACCTGAGCTGCCGAATTCTGCACACTTTTACTCATGAGTTTCTGTGAAATATTCCATTTGTTAAAGGGCTTTACAAGAAAAGCATTGATTCTCACCCAATACCCAACTGTATTTATGAAGAAACCAAGGCCCAGGACAGGGAAATGATTTTCTCTTAGCCAGCCAGCTAATGGCAGAGAGAGGACCAAAACCCAGCTTCTTCCGATTTGGGCTTCTCAGGCCAAACTGCACTGAATCTGGGAAAGGAGACTGAGGGCCGGTGGAGGGCCTCACGTTCTAGACGGGGCGGGGGCGTCATCCTCACCCCCCCTCTCTGCCCCCTGGCTTTGGCACCAGTTTCTTAGGCAGAAGAAACGTTACAGCAAGAGAGGAGGTTTGGTCATAATTGGAGTCACCATTCCTCAGGAACAGGTACTGGGCGGGACACACTGCCACCATCACGATCCCTTCTGGCACCACTCACCAGCATCAGGTGTGACTCGCTCTGCCCAACCCCAGGACTGCAGTGCTGATCCTGCCTTGGGGGCCTGCTGGGTGGGGGAGACAGACCAGTTCCCGCTGGGCGCCCGGGCCTGCCGTCCGGGCCGCAGGCACGCTGCAGCTGACCGAGTGGGAGCTGGAGCAGGACAGAAGGGAGTGGCAGGAGGACTGTGTGGGGCGGCCTCACAGCAGGGGTGGACAGGACACGTCCCACAGGATGGCATCGGTCCAGCCCGCCTCCACCCCTTGCCTCCCCATCCCCTCTGACTCGCTGTGCTCAGTGCGTCTACACACCGGCCTCCTCGGGACCTGGAGGCGGAAGCAGCCGCCCGGAGTCAGGTGGTGTCGTAGAGCGGACGGTGCAGTGCACACGGACCAGGGCTCCTCCCCTCACCTCGCTTCACAGATGCTCCGTAGCCCAGGCACCTGGGCAGCGGGGGTGTCAGGACGGAAGGCTGAGCGACCAGGCCACTGAGGAGGCGGAGCTCTGCCCGGGAGCACTTTCTAGCGCAGCTCTGGACGCCCTCTTGTCGGCCTCGGCACCTCTGGCTTCGGACCCTGCGAGAGTCTAGGTCCCCCGAAACCCAGTGGACGGGCTGGCTGACCTTTCAGTATCACCAACTCACAGCACCGGCCGTTACCAACCAACAGCCACGGGGGCGTGAGTCTCAACTCCAGTGCCCAGCACACCCCCTGCAACTCTGTGACTGCTTTTTTCGGGACTCGGCTATTAGGAACACTGTTATAAACAAGCATGTGCCAAATTAAAGAAATTCCCTAACACCATATTTATTATTCAGTAAATGGAGTTGGGAAAGCAGGTAGCCATGGGAGTGGTGGGAACGGCGCAGGGACGTTTCTATTCCTACTTATACCAAAATAAATTCCAGACGGTTCACATATTTAAATGAAAAAATAAATTAACCCCCAACAAAGCTATTGATAGAAGAAAATGACAGACTTTGTTTTCATAATCTTGGTATGAGAAAGGTCTTTCCAAACATGTTACATAACTCCGAGTCCATTTTCTTAAGGATTAATATATTCAACTATATAAAAATCAAATACTTCTGCAAAGCAAAATGCACCATTAAAAAAACAACTGAAAATAATGTTTGCACCACATGTAACAAAGG